AATGTAAAAATGCTTCAGTGACAAAAATCTATAAATCCAAAATCTGTGTGATGTTTTCTTATGGATATATGGAAATATAGAATGAATAAATGAATAATAATTAAATGAACAAAATGCTAAAATGCTATCTAGTTAAAAACAAAGTAAAAGAAAAAAGTAGAGCAATAAAAGAAAAAGTAAAGTGAAAGAGAAGATTAAAAGAAGGAAAGAAAAAGAAAATTAGAGGAAAAAGTAAAGAAAAACGAAGAAAAAAGTAAGATAAGAAAAAGTAAAAGAGGCAAAAGAGAAACCAAGTCCGAGAGAGTCAAAGCCAAATCACCATCCAAATCCAAAAACTGAAAATCAAAGCCAAATCAATAAACCAAATCCAGAAACTCAACAACTCACCATCCACCAAACACCTGAACTCCAGCCTTCCGACTACCTACAAGAGTCCACCAGTCAGCACGCGATATATATATATAGCCAGTGTTATTGTGACCTCACGAAGGTGTCTGTGATGTCAGAGCTGCCAAGGGTCTCTGCCCATGTGGGCGTCGCCCCCTGTGCCCATCTCAGTTCCTGGCCTTCAGGACGCTTCTTAGATGAGCATGCCTGGACTGGCCTTGCAGTCAGGGCCTGGGCACTGTCCTTTAGCATTTTGATTTTGTTTTTGATTGATTTCATTATTGTTTTCATTTTATTGCCAGCCCTGGGCTTTGAACTCTGGGCCTGGACACTGTCCTTGCACTTTTTTTGCTCTAGGTTAGCACTCTACCACTTGAGCCACAGACCTACTTCCCGCTTTTTCTCTTTCCGTGTTACTGAGGAAGTGAACCCAGGCAAGCACTCTACCACCAAGCACATTCCCAGCCCCTGTCCCTGAGCTTTGATACTCACAGCTGGTGCTCTATCAGCCGAGCCACAATCCCAGTTGTATCTTCTTGGTGCTTCATGGGAGATAATAGTCTCAGGGATTTTCCAGCCCATGTTGCCCTTGCATTAGCATCCTCATATGCCAGCTTCCTGCTTAGCTAGGATTACAGGCCTTACAGTAGCCATATGCTTTCAAGACACTTATGTTAAACATAACTTATGTTCTGTTCAATAGGAGTCCACCTAAGTTTTCTTAGGTGGTTATATAAATTGGTATTTAATATTTCTACCTCTTACATTTTAGTCAATATCTAGAATCCTAGAGTGCTCATATTTATAATCCTAGAAACTTGTGGGGCTGGAAGTGGGAAGATTGCAGTTGGAAGCCAGCATAGGCCAAATGTGGATATAATATGCTATTATATAATTGCCATGTATGTGCTAGGACATCTACTATATTCCTTCAATCTACAAGAAAGGAAGGCCAGCTCTTTGTTAATATCAAAGTAAGGCCAAAAAATAAATATTAAGGGACCAACTACTTTGTGTTTGATAGGCATCTTCCTGTAGGATGCCTAGAAACCAGACTCTGATGTCGGGGAAAGCGGGCTGAAAGTGAAGAAGTGTGCTCTGCACATGAAAAAGAGTGTGAATCAGTCACTGCTGAAACTGCACAAACTGGCCACTGACAAAAATGACCCCCACTTTTGTGACTTCATTGAGACTCATTACCTGTGTGAGCAAAAGATTACCAGCATAGATATGACTGGAGGGAGGCATGACTCACTGTTTACAAGGTCATCTTGAGGTCAAACACTTCATCAAAACTCAACCCTGTCATATTTCTCAATATACTTGCTGTTTCTGCTTTATTAATTAATTTTTTGGGGGGGGTCCAGTCGTGGGGCCTGAACTCTGGGCCTGGGTGCTGTCCCTCAGCTCATCAGCTCAAGGCTAGTGCTCTACCACTTGAGCCATAGGGCCACTTCCGGCTTTTTTCTTTTTTCTTATGTGGTGCTGAGGAATTGAACCCAGGGCCTCAGGCATACGAGGCAAGCGCTCTACCACTGAGCCACCTTCCCAGCCTGTTTCTGCTTTAATATTGGCATTATCTTTAGGTAGAATGATCACTCGAGGGCTATTCTGAACACACTTTTTCATTCTCCTTGGATGGATGTCAAACACATGGTTGATATGATATTTAGATATACACTCAGATTCCTTACGAACTATGATCTATCTAGCGAATCCAATGATTCCCTTCAGGATTTCCTAGATTATCATTAATTTTCTCATCCAAAACAAGGGAAGCCAGGGAGATGTAGGTCAATCTATTCAGCCTTGAATATACTAATGATCAAACCCCAAATCTTTTCCACAGTAGCTGTTTCAGCATCTGGGTCCCTCAGAAGTGACACAAAGACTGCAGAATTTATTTCTACGTACAGTTCTGCCCTGAACAACTGGGTTCAACTTCTTACAAGTATTTCTTAGAGGTGTAAAGGAAGAACTCTGAAATAGGTACAGTTATAGATGTTTATTCAAAGTAGGCCTCTTTTCATTTTCTACATAATAGTAGCAACTCCTGGAACCCCAATCCCTAAACAGTAGTGCTTCAAGACACCCATTGCATTGCATGCAGTTGGCAGCTTATGGCTTCATTCAAATGGATGAAAGGGCCTTCAACGTGTGAGACAATGCTTGAACCAACCCCTGCACAGACCTAACCCTAACATGCTTTTTTTTTCATCCTGGATTCCACATTCCCTGTGAGGAAGGCAGGGCAAGAGGCTGGCACTGCCCAAAGATGAGCACATTGAGTGCAAAGACACATGACTGCAGCCCTCTGTGGTTCTTCTCTGTCTGTCCAAGACACACACAGCCAAGGGGTCTCAGAATGTCAGTTAACAGAAAGGAACCTCCTCCTGATAGTCATATGAAGTCCAGCTGGTGATATCTGAAAAGCTGCTTTCATGTTGAGATAATCTCCACTATGATTATGATGCAGTGTGTGGACTGAGAGAGAAGAGTACAGGGAGAAGAAGGGCTCTGGTAAGAGGGTGCAGTCTTTGTGGCTGCTGGTAGTCTTTAGCTCTCCTAGGTGGAGCAGGGTCCTTAGGTAGAACAGACTCTAGGAATGGGGCTTGGCATAGAAAGAGTGTCTTAATTCTGTGTGAGTTCTGACTGGCTACAGCTCCCCTATCTTCAGTAGGGCCCTTACTTAAATAGACGCTAGAATTGCATTTGTGGCATGTATTTTGTTTTCTTGAGGTGTGTGCCAGTCCTGGAGCTTGATCTCAGGGTCTAGGAGCTGTCTTGGAGCCTTTGTCTTGATTAACACTCTACTCTGTGAGCCACAGGTTCACTCCCAGCTTTTGGGTAGATAATTGGAGATAAGAGTCTTATGCCTGTCTGCCTGGCTTTGAACTGTGATTTTCAGATCTCAGCCTCCTGAGTAGGTCAGATTTTAGGCTTGAGCCACTGGCACTGGGCTTCTGTGGTAAGTTTGCAGAGTTAATTGGTAGCTCTCCCTGTGTCCATTCATCCTGCTTGAGAAGGCAGTGGGCTGGGAGTGGTTGTTCCTTCTCCTCAGCTATTAAGAAGCCTTTGCTGCAGTGTTTCATTTGTATAAGTCATAATGCTTTGATCTCTCTCTTTTTTGCCCTCTCCTCTCATTCTTCTTTTTGTTCAACGTTCCCCTTTATCCGCTCTTACTTGATCCACCCATTCAGTTTATTCATTTATTTAACATACCCATAAACACAACATACATATGAACACACACACAGACACACAGACATGGAGGATGAGGGAGAAGGAAAGGGAGATAGAGAGCATCCCCTCCTGTTTTTATTAATTTTAAATAGAGAGATATCATAATAATCTTTCTGGAGTAATCTTTGAGTTATATCCTTAAAAAATTTAAAAAAATCTCCAGTAATCTTAACCCTTGAACACTTCCTATATTAACATTCATTTTTCTATCTTTTGTGTTTTTGAATCTTTCCAAAGATTCATTTGTATTCATTATGTTACCTTTTTTTATAGATGTGGTCATTCCCACTGAGGGTTCTTGGGTTTATTTCAAATTTAATTAGTTTCGATGAACATGGTTGTGAGGGTAGCTTTAGTGTAGCCTTGCAGTATTATTTACCATAGCCAATATATAGAGGCAACCTACATGCTCCTCCCTCAATGAATAGATCAAGAAAAGATGGTATATATACACCATGGAATTCTATGCTTCCATCAGAAAGAATGTTATTGCTCCATTGGTAAGAATATGGAAAGACTTGGAAAAAAAACATATTAAGTGAAGTAAGCCCAACTCAAAGAAACATAGGTTGCATGGTTTCCCTCATTTGTGATAACTAGTCTGTCCTTATAACTTTACAAGTAAATACATCGGGTGGTAATGAAGGGGTTGCAAATGAATTTGCAAGTGAATATTTTAGGTGGTACTTAAAGATTTAGAAATGAGTTAGTTGAAGTATAACAGACTCCAAGGAGAGCACAAGTAATTCCTTAAAAAGACTAAGTCAAAGCCCAACAAAATAAGTACTAGGAAATAGATACTTGCAACAAGTGATGTTGAGAGAAAGGAGAGGAGAGGGGTAAAAGAATGAAAAGAGGAAGGGGAAAGAATTCTGGAAAGGTTTCATTGTATATACGATAGAATCGAAAATTATGAGGGAATGGGTATGTAAACACAGGGTGCAGTTTTTGATGTGATGACAGTTTAAGACACATTATACACATAAACTGCTTTGCTAAATATCAAAAATGTAATATATAACCTAAAATTAAGCAAGACAAGGGTTAGGTTCGGAGGGGTTGGTGAAAATGAAAGTTGTCACATTGATCTAGATTCACTGTATTCATAAACTGTTTCAATGAGTGGCAACACCTTTGTACAACTAGTTAAACACAATGAAAATTTTTTTTTTAAAAAGAAAAGAAAGGTTGGATTGCTCTTTTTTTTTTTTTTTTTTTGTCAGTAGTGGGTCTTGGACTCCAAGCCTAGGTGCTGTCCCTGAGCTCTTCAGCTCAAAGGAGCACACTCTACCAATTGAGCCAGAGCCCCATTTCTGGTTTTCTTTTTTTTTTTTTTATTGTGAAAATACTGTACAGAGGGGTTACAATTACAAGGGCAAGATAATGAGTACATTTCTTATCAAGCATTGTAGCTTCCTCCTTTGATAGATACATATTATTTATCAATTTTAGCTTTAGAAATATAAACTTTGTTTATGTATTACGCAGGAAATAATCTACAAGCTTGAAGTATAACATTACCTTTCAAGTTATTCAAGGGTCCATGATCTTTTCTGATGGCACTTTGGTGTACCCTTTCAAGCTATCACTTTCTTCTTCAATTATGCAGGATCCTTTCAGGCTTTCACAATTCACAGCAAGGTGTTCATTTATTTGTGTCCCTGTGCAGGATGAACAGCTGATTGCCACTCTTTTTTCTGACCCCTGGGGTCAGTGGTCGAAGCTGAGATCTTCCTCAGTGACTCTTGTGCAGGCTTGCTACTGGAATGATTCTTTGCTGGTTCATACCAATTTCCCCTTGCATTCGCTCCCCCTAAAGAGAAAACTGTTTTTCATTTTGTTTCAGAACACCTATATGGTTAAATAAATTATGATTCAGCCACCCAAAGGAATTGTTTACATCTTCAATGAAAAAGAAAATAGAATGAGCACACTGCCTACTGACCTGGAAAGACTTTCAAGACACATTGGTCTTTTTAAAAAAGTAAATGTAAGCCAGGTGCCAGAGGCTCATACCTTAAATCCTAGCTGTTCAGGAGGTGGCGATGAGGAGGATTACAATTTAAAGGCAACCTGGGCAGAAAAGCCCACAAGACTCCATCACCTAAGTAAACAGAAATCCAGGTTAGTGGCATGGCTCAAGTGGTAGAGGTTCAGCTGAGGTTCAGTTGACCAAATGTAAGTTCAAAATCTGGTACTAGCAAAGTAATAATAACAATAACAATAATACCAATACAATTTAAAGGATAATTCTGTATCTATTCACAATAAGATATGGGTACTTTGAAATCTGAAAAATTTAAGGACAAGTATGTTATCATGAAGTGGTATAATTAGAAAAGGTACTGTTGGGGACTGCAGAATATAGTTCTGCTAGTAGAATTCAGGTTTAAATCAGTTACCATCTACACAGTATGGGATGGAATGGGACAGGATGCTTACTTATCCAGATTTCTAAAGAGGCAACTATTAGTAGACTCACAGTCCCTCTCGTTTTGAGGAGAATTCCTTCAGTAATTCTAAAATATGTATAACAGAATATCAATGTAATATCCTGATTATATATTTTGATAATGAAGAGATATGAATTTTGTCAGTTGACATCATATTTAGGTTAGCTTGTGTTTACTTGATTGCAAATGGCAGGTATATAATGCAATTAAAATATTGGGAGGACAATTCCACACCAGTATACGTCATACCTGGTGTATGCATGTACCCACAAATAAATATTACATACGCCTAGGTATACACACCTTATTTTTCAAAATTAAAATCTCATGACTTGTTTCCTTCTTTAAATAACTTGAAGTCTAAAATGAAGATTATAATATAGAAATTAAACATACCGAATAAATTTGCTCATTAGTTTTACCTCACAAATTGCTTTCTCATCAAATTCTTATGGGTGATTATTATTTTATTTGTGTCAGTTCTAGCACTTGAACTAAGGGCCTGGGCACTATCCCTGAGCTTTTGTGCTCAAGGCTAGTGTTCTATCACTTGAACTACAACTCCTCTTCCAGCTTCTTGACGTTAACTGGAGTCTTCTGAACTTTCCAGCCTGGCTTCCAGGTCTGGCTTCAAACCACAATCCTCAGATCTCAGCTTCCTGAGTAGGTAAGGCTATAGGCACAAACCACCCATGCCCAGCAGATGACTAATTTTTGAACAGTTGTGCTCTGAGTAGCTATTGGTTAGCTGTTGGTTTGTCAAGGATGTTTCTTTTCTTGCAATCAAGGGTTGCTAATCAAATGAGCCATGGTGTCTCATCCTAGTCCTCAGGGCTAGGGCTAAAAATCAGTTTTTAATGAGCTGTATGGTTAAGGAGAATATGGATTATACTGGGTTTTAAAGTGAAACCTTCCTCCCCTTGTAATGAATACAAATGAGGCAAGCACTTGGGATACCTGTAGGGGGAATGGTTTGACTTGATGCAGCAGAACACACATGAGAGCCATTGTCCAGTGTAAGGGCTACCCAGAGTTCTCAGGCTTGTCTCATAGCTCCTCTCAAAGAAAGGAAGAAGGGGGAATGGCATCTGCTTTATATCCTTTTGGGGAAATCAAGACCCATCTTTGCCAAGCATTTGCTACAGGAAACAGCAGAGGAAGGAGGCCAGACCTCACCCGCGGCACAAGAAGAGAAAGAGAAAGTGCTACACTCATTCATGCATTTGAGCTGCTGCAAGCCTCTCTTCAGTAATAGAAAACAATCTATGAATGTCAACTGCCATGAAATCAGATTAGTCGTTATTCCCCTCCCTGGGTAAGCAGAAATGGGGATTTGAGAGAGAAGCCACAAGCATTATAATTTTTCAAAAGGAGGCTATCTAAACATTCACACAGTGAGACCAAAGCAGGATATTCTTAGGAAAGGATCAAAAATGCTCAATAGCCATGTGCATATGATCATATAAAATGAGGCTTATCAAAATGAACTCCAAAAATGGAAATCAGAGGTTTTTCATTTTACTTTTTATGTTTTTTGTTTCTTTTTGAGATTCTTTTTTTTTTTATTATTGTGAAAATACCGTACAGAGGGGTTACAATTACATGGGCAATGTAATGAGACCATTTCTGATCAAGCATTGATGCCCCCTCCCCTTCCCAGCCCTCCCCATCCTCGCCCCTGCCAAAGTTGTAAAGTTCGTTTTCAACATAACGACTTGAACATCTCATTGTTGCAATGGATCCACCTGTATTCCTATTTAAATGATTTGTTTTTGCTCTTCCCCTCCACAAATTATACTAACATCAAATACAGTGAAAGCAGGGGTTATACAGTGGGGGAGGGACATACAAAGCAACAAAGAAATCATCTTATAAATATGTTAGAAACAATTGCAAGAAAGAAAAACATTTGAATACTTATCTTGGGGTTCATTTCATCTAACATCAACTTATCTGACCTTTTCTGCTTGTCTCAGACATTACAAATAAGGGAAACCATGGGACCTATGTTTCTTTGGGCCAGCAATCCCACTTTTGGGCATTTACCCAAATGATCACAAACAAGACCATACTAAAGCTACCAGCACAACTATGTTTATTGCAGCATTATTTATCATAGCTAAGATATGGAACCAATCCAGATGCCCCTCAGTAGATGAATGGATCAAGAAAATGTGGTATATATACACAATGGAATTCTATGCCTCCATCAGAAAGAATGACATCGCCCCATTTGTTAGGAAATGGAAAGACTTGGAAAAAATTTTCTTAAGTGAAGTTTTTTTTTTGTTTCTGTTTTTCCCCTTTTGCTGCTGCATTTGATTTCCATGCCTTTTGTCCTGTGTGTAAATGTATCTGATTTGGGGAGAGGAGTGGAAGCACAGAAATGGTGTGATAAATGGTGAACAAAATGCAGCAGTGATACTTGCTAGACACTATGTTGAAAGTGAACTATACAACTTGTAGCGGAGAGGGGTAGGGATGGAAATACTGGGAGAAAATGAGGGAAGAAGTAGCACTGCTCATAAAAAATGTACTTATTACCTGACTTACGTATACATCACCTTTACAATAAAAATATAAGTTGCATATCATAAGAGTGATAACCATTATATGTAATAGTTTATTAAATGCCTACAGTAAAATTCATTTTGAAAAACTTTCTATCCATCATTTAGTCACCTAAAATGCTGGATTTCAGTTGTGCTGAACAAATGAACATGGAATTTTAGAACTATTATGGAACACTGCCCACAGCCTTCACTACAGATTAAATGTTGCATTTAATCATCTTAAGGACATAAAAGTATCTTTACATTCATTTGGGAGGCATAGAGAAAAATGCAGCCACTATCATTATCTAACTTGTTTTAGTTAGAAAAGATGGCAGCTCCGTGTTAATAGTTTGCATTAACAATTTGGAACTGATTTGAAAGTGACTGGAGTTGTTTTTCTTGGAAATAACCTTCAAAATTTTCAAAAGTGTGTAGTCACATGTATGAGAACACAGATTGGGAAATATGAGATTACATCTGAACACCAAGTTTGCTTTCGTGCTATTTTTTCTCAGTGTTGGTGTGCAAATATATACGTAAATATGTACCTAGCCTTACGTTCCTACGTCAGTTCTCAGCTCTGGAGGCTGATAAATTAATAAATGTCTGTGATTAATATCTAAGGGATTAGTGAATGCCTTAATTCTGTCACATTGTCCTGGTTATGGAAGCATGAAGTTAGGCCAGTGGCTCTGAACTTGTCACCAGTCATAAATCTGTGAGTTTCCTTAAGATTCCATTTTTTTTTTTTTTTTGTGCTGGAACTCAGGGCTTGGACTCTGGGTCTCAAAGCACACACTCCCTCTCCCCCCTTCATAGCTGGCATGCTACCAATTGAGTCATACCTCTAGCCTAACATTTTTGTTGGTTAATTGGAGAGAGACAGACAGACTTTCGGTTAGAACTGTCTTCAAAGCTCAGCCTCTTGAGTCATAAGGATTATAGTACTGAACAATAATACCCCAGCTTTCATGAATTTCTCTGACTCTATCATTTTCTTTCCACATTTACTGTCAACATCTGGAACACATCTTTTCCTTGCTTGGACCATTGCAGTAGACCATATATTTTATGCCTAATTCTATCTCCCTTGCTACTTCCATTGTTCCTTTATCTGTCCATATGACACTGTCACTTCCCTAATATAATTCTTCAATATGTTAGTATCCAACAATTGTCTGAGAAACATTTATGACTCTAGAATCTGGTTAGTGAGGACTGTGTATACTGTCTCCCAATACTCTACTAGGGTGTTTTGTTCCTTTACTTTCTAAACTCTAGTAAGTCTGGTTTGATTGTGTGTTTGTTAAGCTACTTTCCATCTCTCCTTTTCATTAATTCCTATTTTGTCTGTTTTGGGCTCTTAGCATTTCACACTTGGAGAATGATTAACAATCTCAAGCTTCCAGGCTCTGCAATTCATTCTGCCTGGTTAGAATGGCTTTGTGAAGCACGCATTTAATAAAGTTGCTGTAGAAAGGCAGAGCCAAAATTCAGTAAAATAAAACAACAGAAAGTGGGTATTCGAAAGGGAAAGGTGGAGCCAGGGGGAAAGGAGTAGACAAATGAAGAGGGGAAGGGGGATGCAGTCAAGAATCCTGTGTGTTTTCCCTCATCCTCAATAACCACTATATGTCTAGGAAAAGCAGAAAAGGTCAAAAGCTATGTACAGATGACCATATAAGATGATGCTAAGCAAAATGAGCCCCGAAATCGGAACACAAGAGGTTTTTATCTTTGTTGCTGTTGTTTTTAATGTACTTATAATGTACTATGTGATTTTTTTTTGTTTCTTTTGTATGCTCTTCCTCCATGGTATAACCTCTGTTGTCACTGTATTTGATGTCGGTGCCCTACATCTTCTAATTTGGAGAGGGGAAGGGAAATAACAAGATGTTGAAATAAGGTTACAGGTTGACCCATTGTAACAATGAGATGTACAAGATTCTATGTTGAAAATGAACTTTGCAACTTGGGTGGGGGGAGGGAGGAGTTATAGAGGTGGGAAGGGAAGGGATGGTAGGAGAAAAACAAAGGAGGAGGTAACAATGCTTGATAGGAAATGTACTCATTCCCTTACTCATGTAACTGTAACC